TTGATTAGTATTGAGAAAGAGACTGTTTCGAGGAACTGCAGGGGCTCGGACTCCCCGAATATGTACAAAACGAAAGTAACTTTATATTTTTGTAAATTCTTGTTTATGTTAAATTTCACGTCTGTTTTCCGTATATTTTGCGAATTAAATAAGTTTAAAAACAATATATAAGTACTGAGATTTATTCATTAAAATGACATTGCGTAATAATCGTACGGAATTTTGCCACAGCCAATCAGCGACGTGAACGATGAAATTTCACTAGTGAAACAACATCGTTCGCGCCGTCTGATTGGACGAACGATGTTTTTTCACTAGTGAAAAATGATCGTACGGGGACTAAATACGTTCGTTTTGCACTACAAAGTTTTTGGCGCGAAACATATTTCAATTTGAAAAATCAAAATGGCTGAGTGATTTATGGACGCCGGTTCTGTTGACAATTTTATTTCCGAACAAGAAAATAAAGCTACTTCACAAAAAAACCGAACGAGACGTAAGACTATTACTGTATTACACTTGTTTTTGGAAACCAAGAATGAAGAAAGAAAAATGGAAGATATTCTGACAGCAGAACTGAACGAGTACGTGTCTGAGTTTATCAATTCGGTCAGAACCAAAGACGGGAAAGAATACGAGCCATCTTCTCTCCGAAATCTATTAGCAATCTCCGAGCGACATCTTAATAAAAACTACCCTGCAAGCATTATCAACGATTTAGCATTTAAGAAGACATTAAAAACTTTGAAAACTTTAAATACATAGAAATTAATAACATTAAAAACATCGTGAATGAAATCTCAGTACTTATATAATAAACAAATAACATCATGGTTAGTTCGCGAATACGATTTTTATTCACTCGTGAATTATTACAATCTTTATTCACTCGTGAATTATTTACTCGTTGGTTGCGCTCACGCGTTCACTTGTAATAATCCACTCGTGAATAAAAATTGTACGCGCTCACCAGCCATGAAGTAATCTCTGTGTAGTAAAATATCAGCATCAACGTTTGAATGCAGAGTAATTAACAATGCAAGGCTTAACCAGATGGCTAAACATGAGGATTTCACCTTCAGTTCTTTCTTCAATGGAAGATTCCCCTGAGGTGGAGCGGATATTGGCGTTGTGTAAAATCGTTTACACCCATGGCATTTGCCAGTAACTTTCTTCAGAAGACTTCGTAATGTAGGGATCCAACAATCGTCGCGTATTTTACTCATGGTTAACCCAACCCCATCGTGAAGAGTGCAAAGATGTGCACGTTTGACAATCTTCTGAGATAGGAGATGGTTTGATGGCAAGTAAATCGGATAAACCCTTGAATTCTCGCCTTGCATACGTAAATTCCCTCTTCATTTTTCTGGCGATTTAATGGCAGAATTTTCACTGTTCTCTTGAGCTCATTTAATCAGAAATTTCAATTGTTGATTGTTCCTCAGTTTCTTCAGTCATAAGTGGTCCGCTGATTTTTTTACTTCTTCCACAATCTTTTGATCCATGCCAAAATCCGTACAGTTTTCCATAGGCCTGTTTTCGCTAAAAGGTCGTCAAAGGCATCTGATTTTTGTTGAACAGCAGCTTTCGTCACGGTCTTGATTGTGCGACTTTCGGACTCCGACACATCAGAAGGTTTAGCAATAATCTGTTCCGGCCAGCTGTCGGAATTGTTCAGCCATGAAGGACCGCTAATCCACATTTCGTTAGTTTCCAAGTCACTTGGTCCCCGACTACCAATATCCACAGGATTCTCTTTACTGGGTACCTACCTATTTCCAAACGATTTCTTCCTTCTCATTTATCTTCTCTACCCGATTTGCCACGAATGTTGTTTATACCTTCTCTGACCTTAGATCCATTGAAGACGGACAGTAGAATCAGACCATGCGAATACAGCAGCAATGTGTATATGACTGAGTACTTTGAATGTGTTATGTAGGAGGTTACTTAGCATGTGGCAACTCACTAAGTCCAGGCGCGGAATAATCAACACAAACCGGATGATCTTGTGAGTATTTCACTAGGTGAACGTTAAATGGCCCTCCAAGAATTGGACTTGGACCCAGACCAAACGTAAGTCTTGTCATGCGGTAACTCGTTTCTTCTCTGCTGTGCAAATTATTTATCCACAGGGACCTTAAAGCGTCACGTTCGGATGTATACGTTGGCACTTGTAACATTGGGTCTTACTTTTGCACTCGCTAGCTCTATGTTTTTATCCCGTACAGTTAAAAAACCGCCTCTCGATTCTCTTTCGCTCTCCAACATCGACAACGTTTGTACATTGCACTCAGAGGCGCCGGAATATCGATAATTGCGGGGGCAGATATTCATATATTCGTGTTCACAGACTGTAAAAACAATCGATTTCAAAAGAAATTAATTGGACAGAACACGAATATATGAATATCTGCCCCCCAATTAACGATATTCCTTCGCCTCTGATTGCACTGACCTATGGTCGTCGTTTTCACAATATACACATTGGTGTTGCTTTAAGTGATCTCTTGTTGCAAATTGATTGTCTCTTTGCTTAAATGTTTTATGTTGGCCGCCATCTTTATCTCCAGGTTGTAGCCTTTTCCTTACGTTTACTCTCGCCGTGTTTTATCCTTTCATCGAGCTTTTCGACCGTATTTTCATAGGGTTGCACTTGTAATTTCCTTTCCTGAGTCTACAGACCGATTGCTTCGTCGCTCTTATCGGAATGTAACTTTAAACCTTGTATAGTTTGTATTAAATTGTTCAAAGGACAAAAAGTGCCCTTTATTGTGATGAAAAGTCAGAGGCGCCGGAATATCGATAATTGGGGGGGGGGGGGGGG